GGGGGGGGGTTTTTTAGCCCGAAGCCGAGGCGAATTTTCCGGCCCGGGGGGGGGGCTTTTTAACCCCCCGGCCCGGGATGGGGGGTTGCGCCCTCCCCCCAAAGTTCCCCAAAAAAAAGAACCCCCCCCTCCCCCCCCCTGGTGGGGGTGGCCCCTCCTAGGAGGGGGGGCCCCCCCCCCCCCCCCCCCGGCGCGGTTTCCCTAATCTTTTTTTTGGGCGCCCGTACAGGGCCGCTTCCCTTTTCGCCCCCCCCCCCCCCCACCCACCCACACGCCCCACGGCCGCGGAAGCTGCCCGCCGCGGAAGCTGCTCGACAGGTGTCTCGCAGCTGCGTATTCTCGTATTATCTTCGAGTAAGGTATTGCGTGGGGACGGTGCGTATTCTCGTATCACTAGCTAGTGTCGTGTCCACTAGCTCCGAGTAGAGGGGGCGCTCCGCTGCTAGGGGAAACCTGGAGCGCGGACTAACTCTCGGAGAGTATTCTTTAGCTCCGAGTAGAGGGGGCGTTCCGCAGCTAGGGGAAACCCGGAGCGCAGAACCAACCCTCGGAGACCCGTGTTATGGCCCTGCGAACGCGCACCCCCTGGGCTAGGGCTCTCTTGCCCGCAACCCGATGCCGAGCGTCCGGCCAACTGGGTGCGCTTCTCAGCTCCCCGGTCCTGGGCGTGAGGTTGCCGACTGCACTCCAAGTGCTCCAAGTGCATAAATTGGGGCACCGTTCACCTTTTGTTTCCTTATTTACGAGAACGGGAAGGCTGGGTGTCATCGGTAGCAGCTCTCCTTCATGCCCAGGCAACATCAGTTAGGCGAGTGGGTCTGCGATGCTTGCCTGGAGGGCTATTTGGGGGGGGCTTTGGCGACTACTCGGAGCTGCGCAGCGGCTACGTTGCGCCGTATTCGAGTAACCCCTGGATAGGTCGCTCGCGCGACCTCTCCTGGATGCGCAAGGGGCCCATAGGGGTCACGCGGAGGGAGGCGCTGTTGGCGGCGGAGGAGGTGGAGGAGGCCGCACGGGCGGCGGAGAAGGCGCGGGCGGCGGAGGGGGGGAAGGGCGGCGGCAGCGGGCGGCAGTCCCGCGAGGCACGCCGGCGGAAGGGTTCGTCTTCGCGGGGCGGGGTGCGCACTGCGCGCCGCGAGGATGAGGAGCCTGAGCCAGGGGAGGGTTGGGAAGGGGGGGCGAGGCCGGAGGAGTATGACGGCCTCTTCGACGGCCCATAAGGGGCCGTTGTCTGCTGTGCCTTTTGTGGT